TAATTATAATAAAGTTACAATAAATTAAGTTAATATATAATTATATATACAGTACCTAATTTATATATAATTAATATATAATTATATGTACAGAACCTAATTTATATATAATACTGTACAGACGATAGTAATCTCTCCGTAGCGTGGCGCTTGACAGTGCGGAAAGTAGTTCTGCTGCCCAATGACATTTTATGTAATTATAGGAGTTTTTTACGGATACCATCGCAATTTTTTTGCTGTCTTATAGGAATCATAATTATAGGAACCCGTTTTATAGGGTGTCTACTGTATATATGAACTTATGATGCAAACCAGAAGTCTCGTTATTTCAATTCAAAAATTTTAGGAATGACTTAAAGGAAAGGATGTACATGGGCAAGCCACTACTAATTTGAGGTGGAGAGCATATATTTTAAATTAAATAAATTAAAAATATGATTAAAATTTACAGTTGGCATTGTGACAATGTCACAATAAATAGTTGCTCATTTAGTTTATTATTATTTAAAACTTTGCATTTATGTAAGATAAGTTAGTATATTTTGTGTATAAAAAAGTGTTAAAGTATTTTAGATTGTTAACTTTACATGATAAATTAATTTATTATCAGCTGAAGGCCATAACAATTGTTTTAAATTAACATATTTTTTGCATCAGAGTTAAGTAAAAATATAAACAATAAAAATGAAAGTCATTTTCATTTTAAAAATATTTGTTTGTTATAATAGGCACCAGATAATAGCATTTCACATCTAGTCCGTGCTTTAAAACATGTTGTAGAAAAATTAAGGCATGAATTGCCAGATCGGATATGCCTTGAACATTATACATCATCTACGTTTCTAGGTTTATTTGTTGCAGATCAGCATAATGATTTGCTGAAGCGTTTAGCAGTTCAGTTTATGCGGGAAGTTTCAGAATATAGTAAGTCAATTTATATTTTATTTTAATATACTTCAATAAATTAAAATATGTACATATTACTGTATTAACAAAGTTACTAACAATTAAAGATTGCATTGATAGATCTATTATTAAAATAAAATATTAAGATACAAAATTTGTTATCTACATCAATATGATATTTTTAAATATGCAGAAATTAATAATATAAAATATTTATTCATAAATTTATATATAAATTTAATTTAATAAACTTAAAATTTTTTAAATAGTTGCAATTTTATTAAAGGTTAACAGTCAATGTTTTTTAAGATGCATTAAATAAAGTTTAAAAGATTTTATGTAAATACTGAAATTTATATTGTTTCATTATAAATGAGCATTAATACTAATTTTTTCAATGTACATAAAAATATTTAAATAATTCTTTTGATTCTTTTACATAGCAATTATTGTCATAAGTTTTTGGAAACATGCATTTTATTTAAAAAATTGCAGTTTATATATATTTGTGCTTTTATATGTATTGGAACAGCTAATTAAAAACTTAACATATACAATGAAACAAAAAACAATAAAAATTAATGCATAAAATTTTAAAAAATAATCACAGTTGATTTTAAAGAACTGAAATTTGTTAAAAATGGAAAAATAATGCTTGAAAGCATGCCAATATATATTAAAATAAAAAAAAATGAAGTTAAAATTATTTAAATATTAGCAATTTCATTAACATGTGTATATGCATATAAGACACTTTCTCAGTTTCATTGTTTTAATTTTTTTTTTAATCTGCACAAAGTTTTAAGTTTATTTATCTCTGGTATCATTGTATTTTTCTTATCATCTATTGCATTTATATTTAAGTTTCTTTTTTTAATTACATGATAAAATGAAAGTGGAATTTAAATAGCATTATATTTTTTTATTTTGTATGCCCTAATTCTGCTTCTATAACATAGATTTATTCTATTTTGATTAATATCTTGTCTTTTGTCTTTTTTTTTTTTTTTTTACAGTTCATTAGTATATTAAATTATCAATCTTGAACTGAAGTTGAAAATTATTAATTTAAAGTGATCTTGAAGATTTTTTCTTCATCTTTTGGTAGAATTTGATATTTATATTTCTAATTTAGATTTTATATATTAATTTTGGTTGTTGTTAAAAAATATTTTAAATATTGAACTAAACTTTGTTGAAACAATAGGTTTGTAAGGATGTATAATCTATTTGTTCATATATGTTGGTTGAAATGACATATGAAAATTATTTTTCCTTCCCTAAATTTAATAATGTGTGAACTAAAATTTCAGAATACAGTGGGTGATTGGTTAACGAACATAATCTGTTCCAAGACTTTGTTCGTTATCCGATTATAGATTTACCATAGGTTTTTATAGGAATTTGATTAATTCGTTCTGGAGACTCCAAAAAATAAAAAAATATATGCTTTTTGTACTACGTTTATTTATATGTAATAATGTAATAGTAGAATAGATATGTAATAGCATATATATATATATATATATATATGCTATTACATATCTATTCTACTATTACATTATTACATATAAATAAACGTAGTACAAAAAGCATATATTTTTTTATTTTTTGGAGTCTCCAGAACGAATTAATCAAATTCCTATAAAAACCTATGGTAAATCTATAATCGGATAACGAACAAAGTCTTGGAACAGATTATGTTCGTTAACCAATCACCCACTGTATTCTGAAATTTTAGTTCACACATTATTAAATTTAGGGAAGGAAAAATAATTTTCATATGTCATTTCAACCAACATATATGAACAAATAGATTATACATCCTTACAAACCTATTGTTTCAACAAAGTTTAGTTCAATATTTAAAATATTTTTTAACAACAACCAAAATTAATATATAAAATCTAAATTAGAAATATAAATATCAAATTCTACCAAAAGATGAAGAAAAAATCTTCAAGATCACTTTAAATTAATAATTTTCAACTTCAGTTCAAGATTGATAATTTAATATACTANAGAACTGTCCATCGACAAGGTATTTATCAACCCGCGATTCGTTTGTAAACTCTCTCTCTCAACGGCCTAGTATAATTAAGTCCGATAATATGCCCGATATCTCTGTATTTTCTTTGTTTATTATTAAAATTGTTAGTTGTTAGAAAATAGGGAGTCCGAGTAAGTCACTTCCTCGTCTCTCTCCTCACCTCTACTCCGAATCCAAGCGCTCACACGCTACCGCTCGCGAATCTCGTGACATAAAGTCGCGTTTTCCGAGTCCCTTAGAGACTCGGTGGTGTCATCCTGACAGGGCGCCGAAGAGGTGCCGACCCTACGGTCACAGTCGATTGCTTTTCTCTTTTCTTCAGGATTTTTCGGAAGTAATTAATAGTATTATAATTGTAGAGATCCCCAACCCCATTAGCCTTATTCTGGTTTGGATGCCACTTGGATGATTGTTATTCTGACATCCCTGGACTTATGTCGTTAGATCAGTTTCAGGTTAAATTATGAGCTCTAAAATGCTCTTTATTTCTCAGATGTGATTTTCATTACTCCATTAACAGCTTGAGACTTCTTGATATATCTTTCATAGCTAAGATTGTGCCTACTGTAGACCTGTTCGAGCCATACTGTCTAGCAACATCAGACATCTTGTGCCCACTTTCTACCTTGGCTATTATCTCTTACTCGTTTCTATGGTGAGCACAGTTCTTGACACTCTACTCTTTTTATGCTCCATAATATTATTAGTTTCTTTTTCAAATAAAAGTTCAGAAAAGCACTTTCAAAATTCAGAGAACAGAAATCAACTAGCCCACAAAAAATTATTTAAATGCAAGGCCTGGATGAAATTCGAAATTTGGTATTAAAAAGTTGACTATCCGATGGTACAGTTAAACTTTCACCTTTCGTAAATAAACCCCGATGCAAAACTTAACAAGTGCCCATACGACAGTCTCGCGAATACTATAGAAATTATTTGTCAGAAACATAAATAAAAAGCTGGGATTACAAGGGAGAGTTTCAAAATTCGGATGGATACTATTCTATCGGTATCGGGTTGAGCGTCGATGTTGACGTCTCCCGCACTCCGAAAGGTTTTGAATTGTTACCTGAAGATAAGGGAAAATCAATCAGTATTCATTATTTTCTGTCGCTTCTTTTTATGTTTGTTCAGTAAAGTGTTCGTTATCTGAACATGTGTTTGTTGTCCGATCATAAAAATCTTTCGCGAACGTGTTCGTTATCTGAACTGTTTTTTAACCGATCACCCACTGTATTAAAATGAATTTTTTCTGAAAGTTGTTGGGATACAAAATGAACAATGGATGAAAAATAAATTAAAGAAAATGTATTTCAGAAGTCTGTTAGTGTAACAAAATTGTGTCTACTCCAAGGTCTGCTCTCTTGAACTTTTGTTTAATATGTTACAAAAGGTTCTGGAAGTTCTCAATTGTAACTTGGCAGATCTTGTTCTGAATTCTTTTGAAAAGTTCTTTGATGGAATTAGCCTCTCCCACTATTCGCATCAATTTCTGTGTACACTTTCTACTGTAACTGACACTAAAACTGTTTGATTGGTTTATACCAGGTATTGTACATTGTGTTTAAAATATATGTACCATATTGTTCAAATGCAGCAATTGTGTCTTGAACATACTGTAGTGGGCCATTGCCATATCTGATTGAAACATGTAATCTCCACTCAGACAGAGTACGTGGTATCCAAACCAAATCCTTGGGATTTTGTGTGTTGTTGGAATTTTATTTTTGGCAGAACATCATCTCTTGTTTTACAGTAAAACGTTTATTTTTTTATACATTTATTCAGTGTAAAGTAAGACTCATTACTATAACAACTTTGATGCATAAATTCTTATCTTGATAAAAAATATTTTTTTTTTTTTTTAATAGTCCATGTAATTGTCTCTCATATATTTTGAACTTTTCACTCAGTTTACAAAGAGACTGGATTACCTTCCAATAGCAACATTCTTAGCTGCTTACACTTTTTACCCTGTTTCTCTATTTTTTCCACTTTCTTTAACTCTAGATAGTGTTTTCTTCTTTTTCACTCTCTTAATTATATCATTTATGGACATTTCAAAAATAATGACACATTTTAAATATTTCACTATGAAAAGTTTATCTTTTATCAAATTTCTGGTTTAAAATTTTTTAATGGTGTTTCTATACTCATCTTTTAGGATTACTATTTCTAAATATTAAACAGTTTTCAAAAATAGAACATTTGGAGTCAAATACTTGTGCAACAGAAAATTAGCATGTTCAATTATTTGTGTACACATATGTAGAAAAAATGAATTTATTCTGGATTTTTAGTTTATATGCTTACATATTAATCAATTTATACTTTGATATTGGTCTTGGTAATTATTATTGTTGTGGATATTTAATTATGTATTATATATTTTACATTCAATGTATGTGTTTAAACTTTTATTTAATAATTTTTATTTATTTTTGTTGTATATATAAAATTTTTAATTGGTTTGTTCCAAAATATAAGAAAGAACATATATATTATCTATTTTTTAAACTTAAAATGTTTATCTATTGATGAAGCTATAGTTTCAAAAAATTTCTCATTAAATATTTTAAATCTAAATTCTGTACAAAGGGAATTTTTGGTTTTAACATGTTATGGAGTTACACTGTCATGAAATGAAATTTAATAACTCATAAATTCTGCATAATTTTGAAGGAATACATATTATTTCACAATTAAAATATTCAGTATTAAATAATTATAAATAACAACCTCAACTAACAATGCATGATGAAAATTCTTATAAAATTAATCCCCCAAGAAATAAAATGTAATTGTTCTATAGGTTAATAATTGGAAAATCACAAGCAGCAATGGCAAAGCCCAATATGAAATTAAGGTAAGAATTAATATATGAATAAAATAATTCGATATAAACTCATTCTAAAATAAAAACTATTTAACAAAACAAAAACTTAGTGTATTAGTTTTTAAATATCTA